GGAATACTTACGAAAAACAAGCACTATTCTTAGGAAAATTTTTAAGGTTTTGTGAACTTTTCCAGCATCCCAAGCAATTCCCTTCATTATCTTTTTGGAAGCAAAATTTCTCCTAAACGATCCTCCTCCTTTAATCTTGACCAAAGGAAGAATGATCTTGGCTTTGGTTACCTGGTTGAAGTAAATATTTCCATAAATCTTGCTGTTACATTCCGCATCACCGTGAGTGATGTTATTTAACTGGGTGACTCTACCTCAACCCTTCTCCCCCTGGCCCACACCCACCAAGCAAAGGGTATGCAGGTGATTGAATGACTTCCTATCTCCTTCCCGAGACGACCAACAACCAGGGTCAATCGTCGCGGGGTGAGAGTTTTGTTCACAACCCTGCATTCTTGTGCGAATCTCAGGCCTTTTTTGAGAAAATCAAAAGAGCAAACTCGCTACAGAGTCGATCCCACGACCTATTTGTCTGCCGCCTGGTCTACTAGCTGAGCGTTTCAACTTCACAATCAAGTTCAGCGATCGTTTAGCAGATAATGGGAGCTTATTTCAACTCAGCACCTCAAAACGCGTACAGAAAAGTACACCACAACTTCAATTGGCTGGGTGGACCTAATGACCGTTCCTGGTTAGCGCGTAGAACATATAATGCCACCTATAGAATAGCTGTTTTTTTTTCAAAACGAGTTGATTTTGTGTTTTGCTGCCAACCGTATCCTTTGTGAATATTCACGATGATTATGCTTGGGCGGAAGTTTTTAGTATTTGTTTGCTAGGAATTATAGCCAGCCTCATACGCAGCAGCGTAGACCAAAGTTTGTACAACAAAATCTGCTGTTTATCGCTTCAAAACAATAACAGTGTTACTCTCATCCATGATCTGACTACCAAAGTAGCCCCTTAATCCTATATAAACCCTATGGCCCAATGCCCAGAGAAATTTTCCATTACACATGTCTAGCATAATTTGCCTAATATCACAGTTGCTGCTATGACTGCGTTTCTCACCAGTTCTGAATAACGGACACACCGCTGAACGCTGGGGAATACGCCACATATAATCAAGGGCTAGTACAGGGAATTTCAAATTTCAAATCCCGAAAATTCTTAATTTAACTACCCTAAAATCCCATAGATAAGAGCGGTTTAATTTACCGGTGAAAAATGAATTGGAATGAAATTGAAATTGAATGCAGTCACCCCTCTAACTTGATGGATGGATAAATAAAAATCGGAGAAGAAGTTTAGAAGAAGCTCCGTCCCTCAACTCTAAACCCCGCCCACTTAATAAACAATTCATATAGAAAAATAGCGATTTTAACGGAATTTCTGCCGGAATCTCTCTAGAAATGCCGGAATTTGATCTCTGGATAGAACTTGAAGAGCCCATTCGATCAGTAAAATTCCATAGATAAGAGCGGTTTAATTTACCGGTAAAAAATGATTTTGAAAAAATATTTTTATTTTTATTTTATTTTTGAAAAAATATCTATGGACCGCTCTTATCTATGGGATTTTAGGGTAATAAATCCTTATGATGGTTTTCGCCATGACATAAAACTTCCCCCCCTTTGAAAAATACGATGCCGTTTCGTCAAGTGTGGCACCTATCTTCTTAACATCACTAAATGCAACCCTCGATCATCTTCCGTTGTTCCTGCCACAATGAAGAGCTGACTCTAGCAGGGGAAACTAGTCATTGCAGGCTTAAACGTACAGTTTCCTGGATAATTCAGGTGGCTGGATTAAAGCAATTTTCACTACCGTCGCCTATGTGCGTCTCTCGATGTGTAATACATTGGTACACAAGAACGCTAGAGCCTTCCCAGACCGGCTTGGCGATCCGCTTCAGTTTCCTCATTCGCAGTGTTGACGGTTTGTGGCCTCTCTGCATCCATTGTGCTTCGCCAACTTTCTTCTCTGCATCATTTCTTATTGGGCTCTTAGCCTAACATAACCGAATCATGAATATAAGAAGCCCTCATTTAATCATTTTTGATAGACTTCTTTCCTTTTTTCGTCACGTGCTGCGTTTTTATGAACCAGTAAGCCGGTCGCTAAGCAAGCAGCACGAGCATCCCCCCATCGGCAGAAAACAGAGCGTGCATTGTCCTCATTCATCCATACAAGATAGTAAAGTTCCCCTGGCGAAAATGTAAAAAGAAGGGTCGTAAAGTGATAAGAAATGAATATGACCTAATGTATCATCTATTGAAAACCGCAGGAACTTCAGAGCGAGGATTTGCTGAGTAGAAAGAGAAGCGCTTGCTAGTTCAAATGAATGGATTTCTCTAAAGATTGATTTTGGTTTTCATTTCAAAGAACAGATGGACCAATGGCTAAACAACCTTAGGCCTAATCTCTGCCTATGGCTCCTGAAGGGTGCCATGTGCCGCACCATTTCCCTGCGCTAAACGTTTCAGAAGTAAGATTCGGAGGGATTTCTGCAGCAGAGAATCGTTCAAAGGCAAGAATCAGGATCAAATTGATATGCTAATTCCACTCGACTATGAAGTAGAGATGCGTCAAAAACGTAGAAAGTACGAACTTCTTTGCTCTGCTACGGAGAAGACTAAGAAACAAACAGCGAAAAAGGAGATAATATTAGTAGCGGAGGGGGCAAAGAAGTCCGAATGGAGAAATAAGGACCAAAACTACGACACAGACATGACATCGAATGGTGGGCGGGCATAGATCGTTCAGGGCGTAGGAGAACGCAAGTCCCGAGCACCTAGCCTTTTGGTGGCCTTTAGGCGCAAAAGTGATACCACTGCAGTCGTGGACTTAGCACCTCACATGGGCGAGATTTCTAGAGAGAGGCTGAACCCGATACTTGCTTTCAAGTTTCTCTGAAGAAGTCATGAATGTAGATCAGCACTAAATATTTATTTTCAGGTCACCCCGAGATGCTGTGGCTTGCGGTAAGTTATTTGAATTCATTATAAAAATAACAATGCGATGAAATTTGAGAAGAAAGCTCCACTATTACTGCCGCAGAAAAATGAGCTTTATGACTAACAACGGTCTACTGACTGCTTGAACTTGGTCCTTCTTAAAGGAATCTTCCACGGACCATGGACCAGTGGGCGGGACCGGAAGTTTTTGTGACGAAATGCATGGTAGGTACGGATTCACGCACGAACGTGAACAGGATTCACTTCAAACCTTCCATGAACGTGGATCCGTACCTACCATGCATTTCGTCGCAAAACCACTTCCGGTCCCGCCCACTGGTCCATTTTCCGTGGAAGATTCCTTTAAAGTTACCATCTCAAAGTAATGCTCTCGCATGCGCTCTCTCGCCTAAGCAGCGGCTCATGACTGATCTGTGTCACCACTCGGAATCTTTGTCTCTGTTGAATGCCCCCCCCGACCTCTGCAGTCTTCTCGCCACGCTTACTCTTGGAACCATGGGTTCCCGACAGGAGGCTGGTCGCGGCAAAAGGCGGGGTCAGGGGACGAGTTGCAACGCGTGCTGTGCGATCTAGGACGTAAAGTTGTACAGTTTCGAACTTGACGCGAAATCACAAACAATACGCGCTACGACTCTGTCTCTGCCTTCTTGCCGCCCGCGGCGACCTCTGTAGTACACTTGGAAATACTTCATCTTCTTCCTATGAATTTGGAGCCGATCCGATCCTATTCTAGAAATCACGGTAGGCCAACCATTCCCAATCTTAAAAAAATCCCGTTGCAGGGTTGCTGTTGTGTGAGAGCATTCCTCCGAATGCAGCTTCAAATTCCTTTTGAAAACACCTTATTTTATTGCAGTTCTCAGTGGTATTGATGGTGATCGGTGCTGATGCTCTCGACATCAGTCAAAGTAAGTTTTCTGGGAAAATTACAAGGAATGATCAACGCCCGAATACTTTATGCTCGTATGCCTTTGGCCACGACTAAGAGATCACAGCACTTTTCACACCTACAAAAGTTCCAAATCTACATTTCTATTTTCAGTTTTCTTTCCCACTAGATGTAATCGTATACTGTCAGGCTTATACAAATGCGCCGTGTGAGCGTTAACTGCTATGATGTATCCCTCAAGAGCATAGTATCCCTCCAATGTGACATTATCTCGAAGACTACTATGACCTCTCCACCATACCTATCAGTACCAGTTATTATAGATGTGAAACGATCATGTCGCCTCCCTTGCCCTTTCTTCATATAGATTCTGGTAAGGCATGTGCTTCAAGCCATTCGTATTCCTCTCGTTTGATTTTATCGTTTTTAAGATGGAAGTCTTAGGATTCAGAATGCAGTAAATAGCTATTAAGCGACTTAAAATGAAATTAATGTTCAGTTGGTCCTACTGCCTGGCCTGCCAGATCTAGCTGTTTCCAGCTTTCACAAACCATCACCCGCGTACACGAGCTCTGTCCTCAGATACCTACTCGTCTCTCATATACACAACTCGTCTCAACATACCCCCACGATTCCGCCGCTCACCATCTCGTTCCAACTAACCCCGACATTCCGCCTACACACTCGCTCCACATTACCCCACGATCGGCCGGAACACCACTCCGTCAACATACCCACGAGTCGCCGTACACAACTGTCCAACATACCCCTCATTCCGCACGTACACACTCTCCTCCGTACACCTGCAACCTCCCTACACAATCAACCACCGTACACCACACGACCACAATACACCACCACACCTCGCTACACATTCCCGTTCCCATTTCCATTCTGAACATCAAACATTTTATTCCCTATAATAGGGAAGCTATATGCGTGATTACGAATAAACGACTTCACTTCAAAACACTACTTTAGCCTTGAAAGTAGCCTTAATTTGGCGAGGGTAGTGAATCGGGCTTCGGCTAATCAAGCTTCCTGGTGCGGCAAACTACCGCCACGGAAATCAAAGCTCTGAAGGTTTAAAGCGCTTGTAAGTTGGCATACTGCTATCCACGCAGTGACTATATAGCCACGGAACTGTGCACTGTTGTGAGAGTTCGTTGTTCCTATTCAGTGACCGGGGCAGGTCGGCCCAACAACCACAATCGGCTGTGTCCATGTGCTTCAAACACGATGTCCGCTTCCCCTCGTTAATCTTAATTGCGGACCGCGTGCTGCACATGGCGCAGCACGCCACCACGCGGAGAAGGACAGTAATCTTTGATTTTTTCAGCATTTTGTTAAGTTACAAACTCATCAGTTTCACTTTTTTGGACACAGGATATATCACTTGGCATACTGGTTAAATTTTTGATAGGTCATCGGCCACTGATTAAACAGATGACAAAAACCTACGGAGGTGCAATTATAACGGCGGTCCGCGATGGGTTGAAGAGATTCTCGATACCACCGCCTATCACCACCGTCAGCCTTAGGCCGATGTCAGACTTTGCGAATCGCGCGATTCGCTAGCGTCCGCGGTCGCGTTGCGGTACCAGCCAATTGAGTGATTCACTGGCCGCGACGCGACCGCAGACGCTAGCGAATCGCGCGATTCGCAAAGTCTGACATCGGCCTTAGGAGGGTTTTCCCGGCACTATCACCTCAACACCCAATTTTTTGCACATGATTGGAAGACCTTTGGCATCACGCTCCCACAGTTTCATAATAAGTTATGCTACTTTCTCCTCCTCATCCCTAGGTTTTGCACACCAGTGTATTTTTTGAGCACCCTTCCAAAAACTTACTCTCCAACGCACAGCGATCTATATGACCCCACTCTCTTGTCGAAATTTCCGATGAGCGGATGCCTATTTACGCCTTCTTTGTCCATGGCATTCACTTCTTATAGATGGATTTGAAACTGTATGTATTTGGCAATGGAATAAGAAAATCAAACGAAATAAATGAACAGCGTTGGCGGATTCAGCGATACGTGCAGAGCGTAACGCTCCTCATTACGCAGGAGTGAACCTCAATGAGCCGATCTTTTATGGGCTACTTGATATGCTAATGACTACCTACGAATGAATCCATAATGGCGCCCCGAAATTGGGCTTAGAATCCATGCCCTTGCCTTGGAGTCCGTTAAAACATCCATTTGTGACTTTCTTTTGGCTCTCTTCTTCCATAGATTGTAAAGCATCCTCTTTACTTCTTCGCTTTTAGAACAATGAAAAAAATCTAAAGTTTACTATGTCGATTTAGAAGCTCAGTGCCCTAAGTCTTTCGCGAATATTCTAGGAACAATTCAATTCGGAGATCAAAAATGTGCGCAGCCAGTCTACCAATCGATGCCAACACTCAGCCGACCTGATAAGATTCACCCCCCCCCCTTCCCCAGAAGGATGTGCACTGATTGTGAGACGTCAAGTAGTGATTGAGCGCCTATGCAAACTGAGTATCCGCCTCAATTTCTCCACTCAAAAGAAGCGCTGGAGATAGACCAAGATTTAATGGTTGCGCATGGTGTCGCTAGGGTTTAGGGGTTTGCTTCCCCCATCTCAGCCACTACGAGCGTCCATCAAACTGCGCTACGATCTTACACACAGAAAGGCAACCTAGACTGAGTTGGGGAGGTGTGCTTGACAAGCGTCTTCTCAGGTTCTCTACAATTCTAAATAATCCCTACCCTGCTACTGCCTTCAGGGCCACCTCCATCGCTCTTGCACAGGAGAAAAAATTCTATAGGCCGATGTCATAGTTTGCGAATCGAGCGAATCGCTGGATCCGAGCGTTGCGCCAGCGAATCGAACGTTGCACCAGCGAATCGAACGATGCACCAGCGAGTCGAACTAGGTACCAGCGACTCAAGTCTCGCCACTTTCAAACAGCGTCCACTGTCACGTGACACTGTTTGAAAGTGGCGGAACTTTGAACGTTGGGTCCCGCCACTATTGAGTCGCTGGTACCTAGTTCGACTCGCTGGCGCAACGCTCGGATCCAGCGATTCGCTAGCGAATCGCTCGATTCGCAAACTATGACATCGGCCATACTGAGGGCGAGGTTGGAAGGGCACCCGACGACTTCTTCAGTTTCCATCTTTGTGGTAGGAGAGAGTTGAAATGCCGCCCAAGCGTCGACAGATGTTTACCAGCGGCCTACTTCTGTTTTCCAGGAATGTGATTCATGTTTTTCCAAAAAAGGCCGGGGTGGAGAATCTCCTTATCAACCTAGTATATCGAAGTGAATGAAGTGAATATCGATGTTCAAAAAAGCAACAACTTATGCTCTAACTTAAGGGAGAATTTCACGAAAAAGGTCAAAGAAGGGGAAAATTGCATAGTTGGGAGACAGGCGGACCTCCTGAGGGTGCTGACCGACGCGCAATTGGCAGCGAAAGATTTGACCTCGGCGATCTAGCATGGCTCACTCTTGGCGCGGTTGGCGGGGTACGCCCACCGACTATCTAATCACTCGCCGCAGGTCTATACGTGGCGAGTGATTAGATAGCAGAGAGAGCGTAGTGTTGAAGAGGGCACAGCGATGAGAGTCGCATCAATGCGCAAATCAACGGGCAAGGAAGGGGTCCCATTTCTCGGGTTCTGGGCCGTTTCTCATGGTTTTTCCTTCTTTCGTGTACCACTCACCATCCCTAGGTTAATTTGAAATGGGTTGCTTTTCCATCGTGAATTCTCCTTTAAGGCGTTCGTGTTCCATGTTCTTCCTTCCTTCCGAGCCAATAATTGCCTAGTGGGCAGCAGTTCATGAAATGTGGCGCTTTCACGCTGCTCCACAATGGAGTTTTGTCTGCCATCTGCATTTTTCCAAACATATGTAAACCCTTTTACTTTTGTGGATGTTTCTGATTTACTTGTTGGAAATAGTGATCGAAATTATGCGAACAGTTGATAGCAATGTTTTTGCATACGGTAAAAACCACTGTTTTTCACTCCGAAACAATAGAAATGCTATTCGCAGTAAAAATTTGACTACCAAAGCAGCTCCTAAATCCTCTATATAAATGAAGTCTGAATCGCGGTGGTAATATGTATGCCTCGACTGTTTTGCCATCACCCACTCCGTCTGCCTGACATCGTAGCTGTCGCATAAAAATTGCCTCTCTTCGACACACCGCAAAGCCCCATTCATACTTTGCGGCAGCGCGGACACTGTGGATAGTGCCGCAAGTCGGTATTTGCGGACAGTGCGGAATAAGCGCCGACCAGGCACTGGCGCATGACGCGTGCTTGGCGCACAGTCCGTGCCCTTCAAATCGATTTCAATGCCTTCTGTATATTTTTTGATGTTCCTCTCGCCGTTCTCTATGGTGCCTTTTGTTTTTTTTCTCTTTGACAGTCCTCTTTGCACCTTTTATTCCAATCTCGAGCGAGTAACCACATATGTGGGTCGCGTGCTGTGGATTTGATCGTTCTTTTTATATGATTTCTTCCAGGTAACTCAGGATGCTGTGGTTCGGCGTGAGTCAATAAATTAATTCACATTCTTTACAAGATATAAAAGCATAACCCTATGAAAGATACGATACGATTAGATAAGAAGATACGGGTGCTTGGAATGAGGGGGAGGCGGTCATATGGCGCGATCACATTGGCATTAGAGCGCACAGGCCGCAATTGCCCCATCCTGCTGCGGCCGGACAACTCGTCCGTATCACTCAACTACTAGACTTCAGTAATGATCGATCTGATAATTTGGGTCTCAAAAATCTCGCTGAGTCCCAAAGATCTAAAAAAGAGCGGATAGCTTCGCTGGCCTGATGCCAAGGCAAGAGAACGGAACAGAATGTGTTGCGCGGACGAGTTGTCCGGCCACAGCAGAATGGGGCAACTGTGGCCTGTGCGCTCCAAGGCCAATGGGATCGCTATATGGCGCACACCCGACCGAGGTGCACTCCAGCATCAAAATCGAAGGATAACGATATCGATAGCGCGCTGAAATTTAATGGGGTGGGAGAAGCTTTATCACTATTACCTATAGAAATTAGGTTTTATGAGAGTATCCAATTATTCAATAAATCAAATTGGCGCCGAATTGTCATGATTCGCGACTTCAGTGAGATTAAGGATAGAGTGCAATAGGGTATTGGGGTCTATTCCAGTTAGGGGGGCATCATGGTGCGGTGACTCCCAAAAAGCTACGGTAACTCTGAGCCAGGGGAGTGTAGCCAGCCTAGGGGGGTGGGGGGTGAGGGCAGTCACTTGACATGCGTGAGAAGCTGGAATGTTCGAGTTTACATTAGCTCGCCGAGAAACTGCATCATGATGCCCCCCTAACTGGAATAGACCCGGACATTAGGATAATAAAGAGTCAGATATCGCGCTTAATTGATCAAACACGAACGTGTAGTATTGAGTGTGGAGAGAGCGCGCTGAATTATAGAAAAACCAAACGTCAGCGAAGTCGATCACGATGTTTAAGTCTTGGCAGCGCAACTATCCCAATCTGCTTACTAAGAATTGGGCTCCTGTTCTTGACTACTGTCCTGTTACCCCGTGATTGCGTTATTTTAACTAAAACCCCCGGCGATTTTAGGCGATACTCGAATTCAACGACATAACTTACGAACAATGTATTCCATACAAAGCTATAGGAT